AGAAAGTTTTTCCTTTTCTCTGACTCATTCCATAAGATTTCTACCCACCCATTGTTTTTCTCTTGAAAAAGAGCTTTGGTCAGTTTGCTGGCAGAGATTATTCAGTGTTTGCTTTTTAGAACTTCTTTTGCAGTGTCATTTTTATGATTTAGAAGTAACCCATTTTACTGTATTCTGATACATTTTCTTTTCATTGTTGGCTGCCTTGAACAATTTGCCAATGACTAAGTGTGAATATTTCGGATTTTAGTGAGATTTACTCCCTAGTTAATAGCTACAGCATTGTAACTCTTTGCTTATTTTCAAAGAAACAATCTGCATCTCTTTGATTGGGAAATCACTTTTCCCTCCAGTTTTTATGTTTTGCTAAAAGAAAGACCTATTATTCAAAGCACACAAAGCACCGCCATCATTCACAGTTGCTTGTGATTAAGTATTATTTCCTTATTCATATTAAGGGGCTGTATTATTCTATTTGTATCTTGCCTGGATTCTCACTATGGCCTGTAAGCCTATGCTACACCTTTAATCTTTTAAGCTCCTCAGCAAATAATGAAAGTCTCTCTGAAACACCTATAAATATTTGCAGGGGAAGGATGCTACCTTTCAAGTTAATACGGGCTTCTAACATGAACACATACTTACTCCTATTCAGAAATTATTGTAAATGCTGCAATGCATTCATTGCCAATAATGCTATTGTAATAATTAACAAATGGACACATTCTGCTACAGTCAATAAGAAATATCAAAGACAAAATTCAGCTTGCTTCTGTTTATAGGAGTTTAGGGAGAAATTATGTTATCCTGTGCACTGAATTATTTCCATAACCCTACTTTTCCCCTGAGTAGAAAAGTGGCAGGGTGAAAAAGCCCTGGAAATAATAATAATAGGTTCAGATTCAAAGATTTACTTTTGTATAGTTCAGCTATAAACACAGAGGTGTTCTGCAGTCTCAGTCCTCTAGAAGCACAGAGTCTAGCACAGTGATGGCGAACCTTTTAGAGACTGAGTGCCCAAACTGCAACCCAAAACCCACTTATGCATCGTCGAGTGCCGGGTGGGTGTGGCCCATTGGCTGGGCGTGGCTGCAGTGGTAATGGCAGACTGGGTGGGACTAAAAAGTTCAATCAATCAATTCCAACTTTGCAAGATCTTTTTTTTTTCTGCGAGAAGTTGAAATTGACTGATTGAACCTTTGTTTTTTTTTTGCACACGGCGGCGGAAGCCTAAAGCGAAAAGATTTTATAAAACCCAGCTGAAGGCCTAGGACTGGGGCGACGGTGCGCGTGCCCACAGAGAGGGCTCTGAGTGCCGCCTCTGGCACCCGTGCCATAGGTTCGCCACCACTGGTCTAGCACAATGGAGACATTAGAAATCCATTGTTATAATAGCTGGGGGTGTTATTTTGTGATACCACTCATGGCTTTCCATCAGTTTTTGGAGGTGCTTGTGGAACTCAGGGAGTTAAAGTCCACACATCTTAAAGTTGATGAGTTTGAAAAACACTGATTTAAAATATGACATGGAAAGCAAGGCCAGTTTTTAGCATCACCCTTATTTCCCAGAATTCTTCTCTGCCCTGCATATACACTCTAGAACAGACATATCAAACTCGGGACGTCATGTGACGTCGTGCAACATATTGGGAGAGTTTTGCCATTGCCGGCAATGGGATGGACGCAGCTTCCGCATGATGCGTCCAGCCTGCAGGCCGGCAGTTTGACACACCTGCTCTAGAAGAATTTTCAGAAAATTAAAATAAGAGGCAGCACAGTAATGATGTAATTAGTAGAACTGTGTCTGAAAAATTGTTTGGGGCCTCATAGAAGTATCATGCCTCTCTTCTGTTCAATAAAATAGACTTTTTAAAAGGTGTTTTAACAAGTCTGAAATCAGTGCAATTGCTTAAGAAGTTTACTCACTAGTTAAGGTGATCATGCAGCTGGCACTTTTTTCAGGCTGGTGTGGAGGTCTGGAAAAAAGAGGCTGCTTTAAGGAATAGCAGAGAATTGCTCTGCTTGTGAAAGGTCCAAAGCAATTCTTCTGAAATATTTTTTTGAAATGTGCATTACTGTATTATTTAGTAATGCACCACCTGCCCAGAAAAAAAAGAGAAAAAATGGAGGTGAGCACTGTGAGAGGCTATATGGGGGAACACAATGTCATAAGTTTGCTTCTTGATAAGTGGACAGTTTGTCACTGGCTACGTTTCCTATTGAGGCCATTTGGGGAGACTACACATCAATCCTCCTCTTTGAGAGACCATTGATCCAGATGATCAGAATTCAAAGCCACCTGATGCTATTGTTTGAAGAGACATGAAACTTGGTTATTCATCCTTAGCTTCTTAACTCTAATTTAGCTATATAATACCTGATCTTCTTTCTCAGATGAAATCCTGTATTGTTCTGTTGGGGTAATCTGAGAAAGTTCAATTGATAACTTACTTAGTGAATTTTCTTAATACTCAGTTACAAATTGAACTATCAGTAATGATTGATTAATTCTCTACAAATATATCTATGTTTGATGTAATTGGATGAAGAGATGGGTTCTAAATGCCTTGGGCAACATATTTACTAGATTTGCATCTCTGAATAAGTTAGTAGAAGCACAGCAGAGCCTGGAGATGAAGTCAAGAGAGCAATGGGCTTGGAATTATGTTCTCACAAAACCCTCTTGAATTCCATTAACTCTTATCTAGTGCCAATTTAGTGCTGACCATTAGTTGACTAGATTCTTGTGTATAGGCATGACCAATAAATCAGCTTAACTAGAAATTATTGTGTGGAACTGATTCTTCGTGTCTGACAATAAGCCACAGTTGTCTGGACTATTGCCCCACCATAAAACATTATTTACAAGTCATAAAGACTAGTTTATGCATCCCAATAAGCCCAAACTAAACTACAGTATAGCGCAGTTTACCACAGTGTATAAACTGAACTATTGAGGAAATGAGATTAGATTTGTTTTCCTATTATGTGCTTCCTATATTTGGAGACATGCATCTTTCCTTTGCAAGAAGACCAGAATACTAAGTCCTATTTAACAATTGCTCATTTCCAATAGTATTTTTNATCTTCTCCAGTGGAAATATATATTGCCCCCACGGGCTGCTGTAATTAAGCAAGTTTATAACAAAGCTGGAAGCATTACAGTACACATCCCAATACCCCAAACAGTAGAAATATAGAACCATGCTTGGCTAGGCATGCTTTGCATTCATGCCAATTATAATGAAGGTATAAGCCAGATTTGGAATGCAGGGTGGCTTACAACAGTAAGAAGGAAAAATGAAGTGTAAACAAAAAATTAATAGAATAAAAAAATACGAGAATACGTCAATATAAATAACAAAAAGATGGATGGGGGGAAAGCAGAAAGCAAGGGGGAGGGAATGGTGTATGCCATCAATCCAGCAGCCACGTCCAGCATGGAACGCCCCCATTTGTTCCCCAAGCCAATTGGCAGAGCCAACAGGCTCTTGCAGAAGGATAGGAGGATGGGGACAGTTCTTAATCCAAAGGTTAAGATGTTCAAATGGGCAAGCATTGAAATAGAGAAGCTTTTTTTTCTGGAACCCAATAGTTGGAGTTCTTTGACTGTTGAGATCCATAGAAGGCCCTCTCTGCCAGCACAAGGATGGGCTTGTCTTAGTGGGATGAGAGAGTTCATCAAGGAGCCATTAAGGGCTTTAAAAGCCATAACCAACATCTTGAACTGCACTTGGAAGCAGACTGGTAGCCAGTGATGCTTGCAAAGCAGAGATGCAATATGGGCCATCCTTAGTGCCCCAAAGACTGCTCTCGCTGCCTCACTTTGCACCAGCTGAAGCTTCTGAATGGATTTCAAGGGTAGCCCCACATAGAAGGCATTGCACTAATCCAGATGATAGATGACTAGGGCTTGGGTAAGTGAGCACCTGATGGCTTTGTAGGAAAAAGAGCCAGGTTAGAACCTAGGAGAATGTAATTATATTATGCTTCAAGTAGAGTTGAATTGGAATGACTGATTAAATACAAATGCTTTGCCTTTCATATACATTTATCCTTTTTCTTAATAGATATAAATTCAACTTACAGAACCAAGCAATATTATATGCAGTGCTTTTTTTGTAAAAAAAAAAAAGTGCCGGAACTCACACACATCATACAACCCGCCTTGCCTACCCTACAAGGTTCCATCCCCAAAAGGTGCCGGAACTCTGTTCTGAGCGTTCTATGACAAAAAAACCCCTGATTATATGAAAGCTTCAGAAATATTACAGCAATCTGATGTTTCCCAGAAGAAATCCTATGCTAGCTGGGGATAACCTGTTGGGAAAAGAAGTTTGTATGGGCTGCTGGCTCAGGAATTCTGGGAGTTGAAGTCCACGAGTCATAAAAGAGCCAAGGTTGCCTACCCCTGAGATAGACGTTCAGCATGGACAGCATGGGAGACAGCAAAAAGAAATGCCCCTCCATTTAAATCTCTGCCTACAGAACACATTAGGCGGAAACGTGGGCGGGTTAACACAAATATGTTAAATGATGGTTCATTTAATGCTGCTTTGTTGACCAAGCTGTAGTGGGTATAAAACACAAAGCCATAAGCTTTGATTTTAAAAATGACAAAGGGTACGTTCACACAAGACATAGAGCTGAAGTGTAGCTGGCTTTTGATTCTCTCTCCCGGATTCCATCTGATCATCCGGGATCGCTCGCTTTGTTTTAGATGAGAATACGTAATTCCGCAGCTTTCTTAAAGGGGGGGGGGGAGAGCAAAGAATGGGCTCAGCTCTGCAGGTGGAGCGAACGGGCACCTGTGGATCCCAACGTTCCGCTGGAGAAGCCAGCCCTCCCGGGGAAAACATGAATGGCAACAACGGTAACGCCTCCCGCTGAGGAAGCGAAGACTTCCTCGGAAGCTGGGAATCATCGCTCCTCCCTCCGGCGTTCACGAGGTCCGAGACGTCAGTAGTGCATGGCAGTTTCCGGAACCGCTGACATGAGAGCCCCCTTCCTGCAAAGTATCAGGTGAGAAATTCAGAGGTTGAGGCGGGAGCGATGCTGCTTTTCACCAACGGGATGGGATGTGTTCGCGAACGGGATGGGATGTGAGCTGGCGAAGAAGCACATGACGGGGTTCCTGGGCAACCTGGGAATGAGGCTTGAACAATGATAAGCCAGATGGAGTGCAGGGCTTATATAAATGAAACTAATTTGGAGCGACTGGACTAGAATAGCTAAGATTTCAGGCGTTCACAGAAAATCGGAAGCGTTTTGATCATCTGAGGCTTCAAATAAATGGTAGTGTCTAAATTTCTTCCAAGACATCCAAAAATACCATATCCATGAATAGCTTTCTCTAATTCAGTGTTTCTCAACCTTGACAATTTTAAGGCATGTGGACTTCAACTCCCAGAATTCCACAGCCAGCATTGCTGGCTGTGGAGTTCTGGGAGTTGAAGTCCACATGCCTTAAAATTGTCAAGGTTGAGAAACACTGCAGTCTAATTCTATGTGTATTCATTCAAAAATAAATTTCAGAAACTTCAATGGGGCCTTTGCCTGTTCAAATAACGATGTTGATTGAACGTTTCTTATGGAAAAGTGAATTTCCCAAGTACTTCTCATGTTGCTGGCGAGCTTCAGCTTCCAGAAAAAGATTCCTTTGAATGCCAACTGTTCAAAGATGAGATTTTGGCTTAGTTGAAAAGAATGAACCTAGCCATTGTTGTTTGCACAACTTGAGTTGTGGAAAGGGCTCACAGTACTTTCTAGACCGAAGATAAACTTACGATTCAAGTTGGGTTCCAGGAGACTCGCTTCATAACCTTACATTATGTCAGAAAATTTACACATGCACATCATGAGCCCAAACTGCCATTATGTCCAGGCACCCTGACATCTGATACGAGGAGGTAAATTGTATTTTTTGCATCATTAAAACACATGTTTCATTACTCCCCCATCCGCACTATTTTTGGCCCATGCAAAAAAGTGAAGCCAAGATGAGTAGAAGAAACATACCTATGATTTAATCCAAATTTAATTTGGATCAGATCAATTAGATGTGATAAACATAATTATTCATATATCTAAACCATTTCCGTTCCCTTTGATGTCAACATTTGCAAAGATTTTGCAAAACTTTTGTGGGCTTCAGGTTTGGGCATTCCTGGTTTGCAGATTGGTGTCGTATATGAACCAAGATATCTGAAGCAGCCTTAGACATTTTTGGTAGAATGGGGTCTAAATATGAGATGTTCTTGAGCCACTACTGATTTGTTAAGGAATGTGAACCAACTGTTAAACATAAATAATAGATAAAAGTACCAAATATCTTGGTACCAATACTACCAGACTAATAAGAGAATAATAGAATAACAGACTTAGAAGGGGCCTTGGAGCAGGAGTTCAAGCAGGAAACCCTATACCATTTCAGACAAATAGTTGTAAAATCTCTTCTTAAAAATCTCCAGTGTTGGAGAACCCACAACCTCTGGAAGTAAATTGTTCCTCTATTTCACTATTTTTGAAAAAGCCCAGAAAGATTTAGCTTTTAATAAAAGATTTTATGCATATGTTATTATTATGGTTGGTCACATAGTCAGATGTTAGGGTTTGGAATTTTTATCCACTTATCAAGTCTTTCCCAAGGACCTGGGAGAGGCAGATGTTGTTGTTTGATGGTATTTAAAGCTATCACCACAGAATGTAAGCTGTTCCAAGTAAAACTGCATTTTGCAATTGACTGATGGTGATTTTTCAATGTCAGTGGTGTTCAAGAGGTGCTCAAGATGTTTTGGGATTGCACTCAGGGAGCCTATTCCTTTTGGTAGTATCTTTGCTTTCTTTTGCCAAAGTCATTCTACTTTTATTTACAGCTCTTTTAGTTTGTGATTTTCTTCAGTTATTTTTCTTCTCTGCTGCTGCTTCCAGGTATTGCATCCCTATCCAGACTTTTTTGTTTTTCTTCTCAACAATTGTTAAAATCTTATTAATATTACAGGTAGTCCTTGAGTTACAAACATTTATTTAACAACCGTTTGAAGTTACAATAGCACTGAAAAAACTGACTTATGATCTGTCACAGCATCCCAGGGTCACATAATCGCCATTTACAACTTTCCCAGGAGGCTTCTCACAAGCAAAGTCAATAGGGGAAACTGGATTCACTTAATGACTACATGATTTGCTTAATGACCACAACAAAAAAGGTAATAAAATTGGGCATGATTCACTTAACCCCTGCGTGGCTTAGCAACAAAAGTTCCAGTCTCAATTGTGGTCATAAGTCAAGGACTACTTGTGGTCATAAGTCAAGGACTCCTACCATTTTTCGAGACCACATTTCGGTCTCTAAAAGGTTTGCCATCACTGGTTTAGTATATATGCGGATCCAAGCAACTAGCCTTTTGTAATTGACAGATGAAAATTTTGTCAATGCACAGATTTTCTAAATGCATCTTTTAATTTATTTTTCAGATCTTGATATTTTGGGTTCTTCTCCAATTCTTTATCTTCTACTCCAGGGCTTTTCAACTGATGGTACGCGTACCACTGGTGGTACATTGGCACCTGGCAGGTGATATGCAACCATCCCAGAGAAGTGGTAGTGGGGGAGGGGAATGAGCTGAAGCGGTGGCAACACTGCACAAGCCTGAGTGAGAGCTGGTTGAAGATGCAGGGCTGTCAGGGCTCAGCAGAACTGCCTGTCAACGCTGCAAATACTGTATATTCTTGCTTTGACAATGTGCAGAACTGTCTGGTATATATATAGTTAAACCAGCAACTAGGAAAGGGGGAGGAGCAAGGATAGCCCGGGAGAAAGAAACCGGAAGTAAATCACATCTTCCAAGTTGATTGGAAGATGTGAACCATGACCCTACAATAAGGGAGTGGAATGCTATGCGTAACGGAAGAGAAGCAGTTCTAAGCATTCCACCATTTAGTGCTGACGTACTGTAACATCAATAAATGCTTTTAGGAGAAAATATGCCTGAAAGTCCTTTTAAGTGTTTCGTTACTCAGACACCTGACACTGCCAGCATCAGTGCCGGGCTCCAGCTGATCAGTGCTTCTGTGGGGCTCAGCTGAAGCGCCAGGATCAGCGCCGGGTTCCAGCTAATCGGCACTTCTGCAGTGCTCAGCTGAAACGCCAGGATCAGCGCCGGGCTCTGCAGGGCTGTCAGGGCTCAGCAGAAATGCCAGGATAAGCGCTAGGCTCCAGCTGATCAGTGCTTCTGCAGGGCTCAGCAGAAGCGCCAGGATCAGCACTGGGCTCCAGCTGATCAGTGCTTCTGCCGGGCTGTCAGGGCTCAGCAGAAATGCCAGTATAAGCGCTGGGCTCAGCAGAAGCGCCAGGATCAGCTGGAACCTGGCACTGAGCCTGGTGCTTCTGCTGAGCCTGAAGAAGCGCTGAACAGCTGGAGCCCGGTGCTGATCCTGGTGCTTTTGCTGAGCCCTGCAAAATCACTGATCAGCTGGAGCCTGGTGCTGATCCTGACGCTTCTGCTGAGCCATGAAAGCCCTGCAGAAGCACCGATCAGCTGTCAGGGCTCAGCAGAAATGCCAGGATCAGCACTGGAAGGAAGGAAGGAAGGAAGGGATGGGAATGAGAAGGAGGGAAAGAAGGAGGGAAGGAAGGAAGGAAGGAAAGAAGGAAGGAAGGAGAAGGAGGGAGGCAGGGTGGGAGGGAGGAAAAAAGGAAAGAAGGAACCCCCCCAACAGTAACCACAATGGTAATGCAGCCCTCATTGAAATTGAGTTTGACACCCCTGATATAAAATGATTAAGTGAATCTGGTTTCCCCATTGCCTTTGCTTGTCAAAGGTTGCAAAAGGGGATCACATGACCTTGAGACACTGCAGCCATCATAAATATGAATCAGTTGCCAAGCATCCGAATGTAAATCATATGACCTTGAGAATACTGAAATGGTCATAAGTGTGAAAAATGGTCATAAGTCACTTTTTTCAGTGCCGTTGTAACTTTGAACAGTCACTAAGCGAACTGTTGTAAGTTGAGGACTATCTGTACTTTATCATTTTTTTCCTTTTTTTTGGGGGGGTCATCAAGTTTTTGACACTTTGCTAGGTGACTGGCGGTACTCGGATATTGCCATATCCTAAAAGTGCTACAATGGGTGAAAAGGTTGAAAAGCCCTGTTCTATTCCACTCTCCCCTGGTATTGCGATAATCAGTTATACACACTTTCTAGGATCATCTTGCATCCTGCGACAATACCTTTCTAGGATCATCTTGCATCCTGCAACAATTGACAAATGTTGTTTGACAATAACATAGTCAAACAACATTTGTCAATTCCAGGTCCTTGAGAAGGACTCGATAGGTAGATAAAAATACCAAATCCACTCTAAACATCTGGCTGACTGTGTAATGAATATAATTACATTTATTAACTTCCCCGCTCTGGATGGCATACAAAACTAGAAAACACCTGAAAAACAGCTATAAACACTAAATTGGACAGACAAATCAAGCTAAAATGATCTAATAAACAACAAAATAAGCAAAACAAAACAAGACCTTAAACAAATAATAAACATCACACCATAACTCTGTGGTGTGGGCTGGTCTGAGAAAGAGTGACTGGCCTAAAGTAACCCAGCCGGCTTTCAAGCCTAAGGGAGCCTAAGGAAGGCGTGGAACTCGTAATCTCTTGGTTTTCTAATCTAGTACTTGAAACACAACTAAAAAATCATCTGCTCTAGCATTAATTACTTTTTTTCTACAATACTGAACTATAAACAAATATGATCCCCTCACTTGGTTTACTTTAATTCCATACTTTTACACTTCAGTTCTCAACATACTTTTCATAATAGAGAAATCAGAAACATGTGCAATTTTAAATGACTAATTAATCAACGTAAACCCTTAACTTTCCAGTGTAAAACCAACAATGTGTAAGAATAAACATTTGAAATGCAATATTTCTGAGGAAATATTCATATTTGGGGTTCTTCATTGGTTTTAATACCGAAAGGATTAAATGACAGTTTTTTTTTCTAAAATACAGTCTGTATTTCATTACTCTCCATATATAACAAAGAGTTCATCTTTCTAATGGCATTTTAAAGAAAATTTTGAAGAGAAAACAAGCCAAGATTCAGTGACAGTTTCTGAAGACTTTAATAATTCTCTTGTTTTGCCTCTTACCTTTCAAGCGTTAGTTTTTTGGAAACAAACTTGCCAATCAAAGAGAATAGGTTTTGGATAATTAATAATATTGATAGGTCTTATGTTTTAACTGACGACATGATCTTTTATCTTGATTTAATTATCTTTCATATGCTGCTTGATATAGAAAGCAGTGGTGGAATTATATTCAATTAACTAAACTCATGCAACATAATAGTTCAGATGCTAGACTAAGGTACCATCCAAGCAAAATTGGTGCACTTATCTAGGTTTGATGCTTTTCTATTCTATTCCAGTCGTATTGTCTGTGTTGAGGAAATCTTCAGTAGCTAAGCTACTTTGTGAGAGGGACCTCGGAGTCCTAGTGGACAATCACTTAAATATGAGCCAGCAGTGTGCTGCAGCTACCAAAAAGGCCAACACAGTGCTGGGCTGTATTAACAAAGGGATAGAATCAAGATCACGTGAAGTATTAATACCACTTTACAATGCCTTAGTAAGGCCACACTTGGAATACTGCATCCAGTTTTGGTCACCACGATGTAAAAAAGATGTTGAGACTCTAGAAAGAGTACAGAGAAGAGCAACAAAGATGATCAGGGGACTGGAGGCCAAAGCATATAAGGAAAGGCTGCTGGAATTGNGTTAGAACAATTAACCAGTGGAACAACCTGCCTCCAGAAGTGGTGAATGCTCCAACACTGGAAGTTTTTAAGAAGAGACTGGACAGCCATTTGTCTGAAATGGTATAGGGTTTCCTGCCTGAGCAGGGGGTTGGACTAGATGACCTCCAAGGTCCCTTCCAACTTTATTATTATTATTATTATTATTATTATTATTATTTTGTCCAGGTGCTGCCTCAGAGGCACCACTGCAAATCTATTATTGCCACATTTTGTCTGAGGTTGCAGGGCCAATGTTTTTCCTTTGGGGGAAACTCTACCTCTCTTAGATTTGCCTCTTCCTTCTTTTTTCAAAGCAAAGTGCCATTGCATTTTGCCATTCTTTTTTCTTCAGGAGCAATTGGAGTTGTTTTCCCCTCTTTGGCTTCACTGTGAAAACTTTGTATTTGACTACAAAAACCAGGTGGTGGCTGGAATGCTAAGTTTCTTCTCTTTCCTTTGACCTCTTGGTGGCCTTTTTATCTTCTTCTCATTATCCCCATTCCAAGGAGAGGCAAAAAGGACACTCACAAAGAAGTATGGAATTATTGTGTAGGAAGTGCTCAAATTAAAGAAACTTCTTAGAGGCTGCAAGTATTAGGTAGAAGGCTATGCCAAATTCCTTGAGGGGCTGATAAATTGAGCTGCAGTAAAGAAAGAAAGTAGGGATTGTACTGGGGAGGGGGGGAGAATCTGTTCTTTCCTCATGTAGTTGCAGTAGCAATGAGAGGTTTGGGTTCAAGTGGGAACCCTGGGAAAAAAAATACTGCTTTTGTGAAATTCTTCCTACTGGTAGCATATCAACTGGTACTTGTTCCTGGAACAAAAGTTAATGAATAGGTATTTTTCTGTATCTTTTCTTTTCTTCCGAAGAGGTCACAGTGTATTCCTATAGAATACACCTTGTTCTTTCAAATTTTTCTTTTTTTCTATATGAGTTTTAGGCTCTCGGGCATGCTAACCTTCTGATTTGTTGGTCGGAATTATGACAGTTGATCCAAGGCTGGTGTATATACCTATAGCCTTGGGCAACTGAGTTCATATCGTTATGTTCTGAACAATCTAATCCTGTGAAATATGTTAAGAGTTTTGACATGCCTTGGCTTTCTGGCTGAATAATCTCGACTGAAGTCCAGCCTATTCCCCCCCTCTCCCCTGAATGTCATGCTGCCTTCTGTTCTGCTATTGTGAACTGGTACAGTCTATTTTTGCAACAGTCATTATCTGCAATTATCCATTATGAGAAGAAAGAGGTTATTATGGCCAAAGTCTACTTACCTTTGAAGTTTTGCCCTTTGCTTTGTCAGGTATTGCTGAGTTAATGAAGAGCAAGAACAGAACACAGAAGTGATTTCACTATCCAAGGCTGGGAAATTTGGGTTTCGGAGGGATACCTACCTGGGACAGGTAAAATATGACCCATATATATGATGTTGGATAATACTTGGGAAGGTTTATTTTATAGAGACACAACTACTTAATTCCATTTTTGTTTGACTTTACTATTTGTATTATTGCTTGTTGCTTTAATATAAAATATATTACCTGGTTGCAGTGTGGATAGTATGAAATGAGGGAGATCATCTGTATGCTTCAGAATATAGATATTTGGTCTAGTGACCCACTCCCAAGAAATGGAAAGGGAATAAAAAGGACAGCCCTTTTGGTAGAAATTGAATAGTGTTATGGCAGAGGCCTTGGAGATACATCATTTGAAGTCAATGTGTCCTCTCAAGATGCAGATTAGGTAGTAGACACATGACATAAAAGAAAGGAAACCAGTAGGTCCTTCCTTCCTTCCTTCCTTCCTTCCTTCCTTCCTTTCCAAAATGGATCTAAGTATCTGTGAGAAAACTTGTGCTTTTTCATTTGGCAGAAAAATGGGACAATGTCTTATAAGCCCAAGGAACATGAATAGGAACATGAGATAGAAGTCTAAGGGTATAATTTTCCAAGATGTAAAATAAAATAATATTAAGGAAAGGAAAGGAAAGACAAGACCACTTGTTTCTTTTCTTTTATGTTATGCACCTACTTTATATAAATAGGAATCTAGGAGTAGAATATTGGTTATAAAGTATGGTTCTAAAGTAGGCTAATTTGAGAAAAAAAGAATATATCATTAATGGATAAACTAGTTAGAATTATGCAAGATATTTGAAGGATACTGAAACATTAATCTTATGCCTAGCTTATTTGCTATCATATTTTTCACAATGTTACTAAATTAAAGTATTATTTTGAAGATGGGAAGGATTAGATTCTTCAAATTAGCAAAAGCTAGTACCTCAATTTTGAAATTGTATTTCAGTCATTATTGGCAGTGTGCTAGAAAAAAAAATTGGTTACAGTATAGTAGATGCCATGTCTCAAATTGATTCTTGCCTGCCAGAGGCAGTTTCTGCTTCATTAATTGATCAGTGGCCATGGTACATATTGGAGTGGAAACTTGCAATCAGATTTATCAGCAGTGAAATTTCTGTCAAACAGCAATTACTTCAGTTGATCTAATATGTTTTGAGGCACCGTAACTTGTATAGGGATAACAAATAGAATTCTGAAAGGGAACACAGGGAAAAAAAGGATGTAATGGTGGCTGCCAGTGAATTCGAAAAAGCTTGATGAAATTTCTACCCTTCCTTTACCAAATCTGTTGAGATGAGACTGGGGATTCTGGTCTCAGAAGTTGAAGCTTCTACATTTAGGGAGCACCAGCTAATGAAAAATATTGTTAGAAGTTTATTTTCCAGAATCTCTTTTAAATGGTCTGAAGAAGAATGAATTTGGTCTGGCAGTTTCTTTTTTTGCATTATTAGAGTAAAACCCTCCCACCATTTCCAAGCCTACTTTACAACATCATAGTTTTCCAAGGGACAGAAAAGTTGTCTTATAATTATCTTGATGTGATAAAAAATGATTGAATTAGGAAAAATGCCGTCTAATTAATGCACCATGGAGGGGAAACACAGTGATTTTGCAGAAGTTTATTCAGGGACAATTAATGTGTGAGTACTGTGTTGTTTATGGCAGATTTCCCTGTCTTCTGCTTTTTGAAGAAGTATCAGCCACCTGCCAAATTAATTGTTCAGATACAAACCTCAATTAATCTTAAAATATGTCAATAGTAGTTAATGAAGCAAACATTTCACTTGATTGTCCAGTGAAATCTATACCATTTAGGCAATGGAATCATTTGAGAATGCACAGCAGGTAATGTCTTAGAATATGTCAATAGTATTTAATGTAGCAAACATTTCACCTGATTGTCGCTGATCAGCACATTAAGTACTAATCTATGCTGTCTTGAATTTGGAAGAGATTGTGTAATGCAGCGGTTCTCAACTTATGGGTCGTGACCCCATTTGGGGTCGATCGACCATTTCACGGGGGTCGCCAAGCAAGGCTGTCCGCCATTTTTTTCCCCTTTTCCGGCGGGTGCCTTACCTCCCTTGGGCTGGGCCAGCTGGTGGTTGGCCTGCTCCGTCTCTGCCGCTTGCCAGCTACGCCTCGGCCGGCGCAGGGGGCGGAACCATGCATGTGCGGCGCTCCCGGGCAGGTAAAGTCCTCGACTTACGACCGGTTGGGTAGTCCTCGACTTACGACTGGTTTAGTCCTCGACTTACGACCGGTTTAGTCCTTGACTTACGACCAGTTGGGGGTCGCGGCATTAAAAAGGTTGAGAACCACTGGTGTAATGTAATATGGCTAACAATGCGAGATTCAAACTTTCAGAACAAACAAATATTTACCCCTACCATGGAGAACAATCCTTGAACAATCCTGGCTGGTAGAGCTTGCTGTTTATTCCTGGCAAGGAAATGTAGTAACATGGAAGAGGTGATGGCTCTCAGAACTTTCCCTATGACTGAAAACAGCAGCAGCTTGTGAATTATTTCCTTCCTGTTCTGTGTCCTTGCCCTTCTCTCATGTCTCAAAGCATCTGCTGCTTTTTAACTCCAAATGTTTCCTTACATATAGCTTCTTCCAGGCTGCCCCCTTTCAGCTATCCACTGCCAAATAATTCAAGATGATTAATGTAAGATCCATGAGAGCTTATCAAGGAAACAATTGTGCAACCAGCCTTGGTCCATGATGAACCACTCCAGTTTTTCCATGACTGGACATTCAGTGGAATTTTAAAACTCAAAGATTTCTACTGATTGGAGAAGGTTGATGCCTTTTCTATTGTGCCCCAAATATATAGAATGTGTTTCTAAGAACTCTCTTTCTTATCCGCAGTTTGGGTTAGTGGTTAAGGCATCACTCTAGAAACTGGGAAATCCTGAGTTCTAGTCTTGTCCTAGGCGCAAAGCTGGATGGGTAACTTTGGGCCAGTCACTCCCTCTCAGCACTAGGAAGGAGACAATAACAATGTGGTTTTGAAATCTTGCCAGGAAAACTGCAGGGTCTAGTCAAACCTTCTGACACCTGGAATCAAGATTGACACAAAGGCATATGCACATGCACAAATTCTTTTCAAAGGCAAGTCTTAAGACCACAAGGAGTGGTAATTCCATAGGCTGCTATTTCATCCGATCTGTACTGTGCAAAGTTGGGAAGGGCTATAAATATAGATTCAAGTGATTTCAATTGAAAAATTTCTACTTGATAATTTTTTGGAATTTTAAATCAAATCAGCTCTTAACTTGTTATTTTTCTAGTAGGACCATGTTTCCGAAAATAACTACAGAACTGCTGAAGCAGCTCCGGCAAGTGATGAAAAATTCCAAATATGTTTCTGAACCCATTCAAGCCTACATTGTGCCCTCAGGAGATGCTCATCAGGTACTGGATTGTCTTCTGCTTGAAAAATGCCATTCAGAAACACTAAAGTAATTCAGACAATAGAAAAAACTGTGATTCTCACCAAACAGACTGCAATGTGCTGTGATATCAGTGATCATTAACAAGGTACAATTTCAGTGAGGTAGCCTTGTAACGTAGAATTGTAAATTTGAAGCTTCCATGCAATGTCAAGTATCACATGATTGGTGTTCAAACTTGCAAAGACTTCCTCACTGCATACAGTTACATTGTCCTTGTAGATGAACAGTTCTTCAATGGAAAGCAGAACATAATAAGTTGGATCAGGTTTATGGTTATCATGGCAGCCATGAACTCTGGGCCATTCCAGATCTGTTGTCAAAGCAACGCAAGTTAAGGTTTTCCAGCACTAGCAATCCAGAGAATTCTACATCTTAATCATTGCTAGTAGAAATAACTTTTTTAAAATTATATAAATATGTTTCAGATCATAATAGTTAAGATTAATTACCATATAGGGATCAACTGCAATGCTACATGGTTAATTGACATTGAAAGAAAAAGGAAAAGTTGGAGACAGATCCAACCTAATGGAAGTACTGTATTCTTTTTGGTGTTGTTCAACCATATTCTTAATGATACAAAGACATCTGATGAGGAATATGCCAAGATCTTTCTGTGCATATTTCAAGACTGAAAGAATAACAGCAAGAAATCAAGGCTAATTTATGTGTTTTTCTATTACTTTGTATCCTTTTGATCATCATTATTTTTGCTTTTTATTTTTGTCTTCCTCAGAGTGAATACATTGCACCTTGTGACTGCCGTAGGGAGTTCATTTGTGGATTTAATGGGTCTGCAGGTATGTTTCTAGAACTGTGTCCATTCCTATGAATGGAGCCCTTAATGGAACCTTTGTGTTTCTCATTAAATTATAGAGAGAAGCTAAACTTCTGTATTTTTCTTTTCTTTTGAATATCCTTTCCTTTGTCTGTTTTTACATATAGATGTTCAGATAGACATCTGTAAAATACGGTTCCCAAAATATCACTTAGCATTAAAAAAAAGAAGAACATGCATCCCAAATGTTTTATATTTCTTTTTGGGTTAGTTTCAGTTTTGACTAAAGTGAGAAAATCAAAAGTTTGCATGCTCTCTGCATAAACTGTTCTATATTCAATGGAATAGAATAAAATACATAAATGTTATTTATGCTGCCACTGGTATGCACTGAGGCATTGACATGTATTTTTATTTTATTTTTAATACAATAAAATGTCAGCTGGTCATAGAGAATTATCAATACAAGTTGACTATTTAAAGTTCTTTCAGAGACTTTGATGTTGTATTAATTCCGTATTCAGTGATTAAAGTAAATAGAGAACATTCTTAAATACCAGATATGAGCTTCTTGCTTGAAGAATATGATGATATTTTGCAACCTTTCAACATTTTTGTGGATCACATATAATGGATAATCTGTTATGGCCCATGAGCCAATGATGGACAGGCTGCAGACAAGAACAGGGTGAAAGATGGGGAGTTTTCTCACTTCTGACTCTTCATGATGGACATCCTATAAGTAGGATTGTCTGTAGGACCATCTGTTTTCTTTGATTCTAACCATACCCACACCCATTTCTTTTTTCTTTTTGATTCCTGATAGAAAAGAAACACATCACACTTTCCAAATTTTTCTAGATCACTCTTGTTTTCAGCGTGTTGGACCAAATAGGCCAGATGACCTAAGGACTATCACATCTGGGCTTCAGATTGTGTATCCATTGCATATCTGGATATATTACACTCCTTACATTTATATGCATCCCCAACAATCTTGCTTTCTTTTTTCTTTTGCTCAAATAAAATTCTATATATATTTATTCAAAGTAATCCCTAACTGGGATTATTTCTAAATAAGTGTGAATGAGATTGTACAATTCTATCCAGAATGTCTGTCCAGAATGGGTAAGTACATGTCAGACTGAACCCTTAGATATAGTTAGAGACCTTTCCTTTCCCCCTTCCCCCCTTTCGCTGTGTATATTGAGAAGGAAAAATTATAACACTATTGATAATAATTTGTATGTATGCATACAAGAGAGAAACAATGAGTAGCTCATTTCTGAAGAACTGTTTGGTTTTGGAGTTTACATGCTGGGCAGAAAAAGTTTTGAAAGGTTTGAATTGTTGCTTCCCCTTTCAGCATGTACACCAGCTGGACTGGTGATGTAATACCAGAGTAGTAATGAGCTTTTGCTGACCCTTAGATGACTCTCCAATAAAACAAAAATCCTGTTAGCTATTTCATAGAGTACTTGCAGCTTTCCTTTTTCTCTGTCCAAGGCCTATGAAAATAGGATACTTGTACTCAGGGATTTGCAGTAAACAATATCGGTTAGCCAAGTTTAGTGTCTCTAAAGAACATTTTCTGCATCTGAAATTACTGGGCATTGAACACTAATGCTCCCTCTCCCTCTCCCTCTCTCTCTCTCTCTGTCTCTCTCTCTCTCTCTCTCTCTCCCTCTCTCTCTCTCTCTCTCTCTCTCTCATTCTCTCTCTCTCTCTCTCATTCTCTCTCTCTTTGTTTGTGTGCGTGTGAGAGAGTGAGTCTTGCATCAGAACAGCATGTTCAGTTTAGCAACATTTCCTGTGGCTTCAAGCATTGCAATGTAGCCTTAAGATCTGGGTTTAGTTTCAAGCTGTGCCACTGATTAACATGTAGTGCTAACGTTGTCAAGTCACCTTTTCTATGGCATCCTGTTTGCCTGCTAAGCAAAATAAGATTAACAAATTAACAAGTCAGGTATATATAGCTCTGGTGGACCTCTAATTATAAGAAATCAAATCATCCAATAGATTTCTACTCCTTCAATCATAGAGCAAAGTGCCTCTCACAATGTTCCAATTGGCATTTTTCCCTTACTTTGCTGAAGTGACATATTTTAATGGTTTGATCTCCAGTGACCATTCAAATACTTTTAATTATTTTTTTATTTCCAGCCTTAATTATCTTTTGTTTCCAGCCTTTTCATCTGCCTGGCACAAAGAACTTTGTTTTATAGGATAAGCATTTCTTTTTTTCATATACCCAATATTCCATTGATTTAGAAAAAATGATTTCAACTTTTTTTTTTTTAATACTGCCAGGCATTCATGGTTGGTGTCGTCAGTGGTTTGGCTTAGCAGGCTAAGAGAAATAGCTTCCTTCTTCTTAAGCTTTTTTTCAACAAGGACTCCAAAACTCCATCTGGGCTTGAGATGTTTTAGTGTTAACATCTGATTAATATTTTCTTCTCCTGGATTTATTAAATGAGAGCAATGTCTTCCAGTGTATCTGTAGTTTCAGTTCTGCTATCTTCTCTGCTTTCTCACAGGAACTGCCATTATAACAGAGCAACATGCAGCCATGTGGACAGATGGACGCTATTTCCTTCAGGCATCCCAACAAATGGATTCCAATTGGACACTCATGAAGATGGGTGTGTGTGAGCCCAAACCAGGGTTTTATTTCATCTTACCCAGAAAATTATTTTAGCTGAGGAGTGCCCAACAGGATCATATTGAGAAACCTCTATTGGCACGCCATCGAACTATTTTTTATCAAACTGTAATATATAACATGAGAAAAGGGAATAATTATTAAGGATAGAATACATTCTATTTAAGTAATAAAATTCATGTAAGTGAAATTAGACTTTTAACTTAGTTCTACCTGGTTTTTTTGTAAAGTTATTCTCTGACATGCTACAAGACCAGTGAAGACCTTAAACCTAATCTCATGAATACCTGCTTTGTTTGATACAGTATTTTACATTATGTAAACGTAAGTTCTTCAGTTAATGAGTTGCATTTGTTATTAGTTGACAACATGTAATTCTAGTTTTGTCATGCTGAGTGGCCTGCAGGCAGAAATCAGAATAAAGTAAGTAAAATTAATATTCATCATCATCATCATCATCATCATCATCATATTTTAAACAGAATGTTGACACTGCTAATTCATGTGAATGTTACAGAAATAGGTCTTGCTTTCTCAGGTTGCTTTTGTCCATCCAAGAGAATGCAAATGATTTCCTTGTAGGAAGCAAGGCAATTATCCTATCCAGTTCCTCTTGCTTTGAGTTGGCCTTGTTTTAATATTTCCAATCTTGTCTTTTGGATTTTCCTTTTCTTAGGACTGAAAGACATTCCTACTCAAGAGGACTGGCTTGTAAGTGTACTTCCTCAAGGTTCTAAAGTTGGAGTGGATCCTTCTATTATTCCTGCTGGTGAGTTTGACCAAGTGCTTTCATCTCAGTGTAAAGGGTTAAATTTTTTCACCTTGCCCCAATCTACTATTCACCTTCAGGGGGACCCCAATCAACTTTGTTCGGTCTGCAGTTAGTGGTATAGAGCAATAGCAATAGAGCATAGACTTATATGCTGCTTCATAGTGCTTTACAGCACTCTCTAAGTGGTTTACAGAGTCAGCATACTGCCCCCAACAATCTGGGTCCTATTTAAAGTATTGCTAATTTTCCTTTTGGCCAATGGACAGCAGAGCACAGTTTTCTGGCAGGACGGGTTCCGTAGCATGCCCCATCTGTTGGAGCGAGTTGGGTGGGCCAGTCCCATTGGTTTGTGATGGTTCCTCAGGTAGTCTGGTCTCATGCCATGGAGGGCTCTATAGGTGATAACTGATATCCTGAATTGGACCCAGAAGAAAACTGGCAACCAATGCAACTTGCACAACAGCAGGGTTAGATAGAGATTATGTATATGTATAGCAGGAATGCATTATATAACAGATTTTTTCTCTCTGCATCTTTCAGACCAGTGGAAGAGGATGAACAAAGTTCTGAAATGTGCTGGCCATGTTCTTGTGCCAGTCAAAGATAATTTGATTGATGCCATATGGGCAGATCGGCCACCACGACCTTGTAAGCCTCTGATGACACTAGATCTTAGCTTCACAGGTAAGAGGAACCTAATTATGTTTGCAGATACAGCATTGAACATGGTTTTCTAATGTGATACCCTCCAAATTTTCCGATTTTTTTTTAACCAACATCTGGCAGGCATCCAGTCAGCAGGCTTTTTAATTCTGTCTTGACCAGAGGCAAAGGAAATGGGATGGGGTCAGCATGATATTTTGAAAAACACTGTTGTGACCTTGATGTTTGCTAACTCATTAAAATAGCTCTGAAATATAGGTAATGCTGTCCATTTGCAGCAAGAAGACCTTTGCTGTTGTTCTGAATTCCAGTTTGGCTGACTTCTAATTCTAGTTGCTTGTTACAGGAATCAGTTGGAAAGAAAAGATTACAGCTCTGCGGGGCAAAATGGCCGAGAGGAAGGCTCTCTGGTTTGTTGTGACAGCTTTGGATGATGTGGCTTGTGAGTATCAGTACGGGGCCATTCAGCATTATTTTATTGCTGTTGAGTGATTTCTGTGCATTGGCAGTGAAAATATGTCCAGCAATATGTCCGGAGTATAACTCCATTTTTTTCTTAGACCATAGTTTGCCTATGGTCATACTTGTTGAAAAAAAAACATAATAGGCTGAACTCATAAAATATAGTGTGCCTAAAACCAAGATTTATAAATCACATAGCTGACTTTCCATAACATCATAATCCTAGATATAATGATGATGATGATGATAATGATGATGTTGATGATGATGTTGGAAGGGACCTTGGAGGTCATCTAGTCCAACCCCCTGCTCAGGCAGGAAACCCTATACCATTTCGGACAAATGGCTGTCTACTCTCTTCTTAAAAACTTCCAGTGCTGGAGCATTCACTGCTTCTGGAGGCAGATTGTTCCATTGGTTAATTGTTCTAACTGTCAGGAAATTTCTCCTTAGTTCTTAGTACAGTATGAAAATCTAGCTGGTCATTAGCAATCCTTTTGAAATGCAGAGATCAGAGGAATTAGCTGATCAATGCAATTAACAATGAAGAAAGGGAGGCTGGTGGTCCCCAGTAATGCTAAGCCAGTGGTGGCGAACCTATGGCATGGGTGCCAGAGGTGGCACTCAGAGCCCTCTCTGTGGGCACGCGTGCCGTCGCCCCAGTCCTAGGCCTTCAGCTGGGTTTTATAAAATCTTTTCGCTTTAGGCCTCCACCGCTGTGTACAAAAAAAAAAGTTCAATCAATCAGTCAATTTCAACTTCTTGCGGGAAAAAAAAGATCTTGCAAAGTTGGAATTGATTGATTGAACTTTTTAATCCCACCCAGTCTGCTCTTACCACCGCAGCCACGCCCACCCAATGGACCACACCCACCCGGCACCCGACGATGCATAAGTGGGTTTTGGGTTGCAGTTTGGGCACTCGGTCTCTAAAAGGTTCGCCATCACTGTGCTAAGCACTCAGCATTAGATGGGTGAAAAATCCCTAGCTCTTGAAGATAATGGGGTACTCTTCCAAGACTCCCATACATAGAGCTAATGGCAAAGCTGTATATCTGCCTAAAGTGAGGCTTCAGTGACTTTTCTTAGGCTAAAGCTGTGGTGAGGCTTTGGGCGGGCTGCTATAAATCAGGATTCAGAAAAGAAGGCTAGGTCAAAACTAAGTTTGATGCCATTTGATTCTCATTTTAATTTTGAGTTGAGCGAAAAGCATTTTCAATGCAGCCTAATAGTGCCATCTTGTGGCAGAAGCTCTGAAAGGATCTAGAAATTTTATCTGGATCAGGATGTTGGTTAAAAGAAGGCTGGTTGGATGTTAATCAAGGCTGTAACACTACCTTTTTATTGTGATACAGGGCTTTTTAATCTTAGAGGGTCTGACGTGGAATACAATCCAGTGTTCTTTGCTTATGCTATCATAGGGATAGACACTATCAGGTAAGAAGAACTATAGCTTTCTCAGTAATTTTACTAATTTGTTGTTGTTAGTTGCGAAGTCGTGTCTGACTGGTATTTTATTTTTTAAAATGTACATAAAATCTTTAAAAACAAAGTGTTTCTATTAACAGGTATATGTATTTCTAAATCAGTATTAATGGACGTAATATAGGATGCCTTTAAAGCCCATTAAGCAATTTTATTTTATTTTTTGAAGCTCTTGATTGATTTTCTGTACTAATTTCTGCTTCATGTTTGTCTTAGCTTTCATTAACAGTAACATTATCCAGGGCCTGATAGACTTCACCACTTTTTAATCAAACATTGTGTAGAAAATTACCATATAACATTATATTGCTTGCTTTTTAAGAAGTGTGCTTTAGGGTGACTTGAACAGAATGTTACGTACGGTGTGAAACTTAAAGTTTGAACAAAGGTTAAACTGTACCCTGAATAGATTCTGATTTTAATATCATCCCTAATTAATATTTCTTAAATTTACTTTTATGAGAGTTATTATCTTAAAGGTAATATAGTAATTTATGAATAAAAGACATCAAGCTCTTTAAGACTTTCCCAGTGACTTTCCCATAAATGTAAAGACAGTTGTCTCCCTTGTATTAAAGGGGTGATTATCCCAGAAATGTCATCTTTTGCTTCTTTTCTCACTCTTCTCTTTTAGGTTGTTTATTGGTGGCAATCGCTTAATAGATTCAAATGTGAAAGAGCATCTGTTTCTGGATTCTGCTCAGGACCCTGAATTGCACATACAAATTCTGCCATACGATTCCGTCCTGACAGTTCTGAAATCAATTTGTGAATCTCTCTCTCCACATGAGAAAGTTTGGCTCAGTGATAAAGCCAGCTATGCTCTAACTCAGGTCATTCCCAAGGTGTGTACATACTAACAGGCAATTTATGTCTGAAGCCAAGATCTCAGAAGCTGCTAAGGCTTTTTGGATGGATGAAATGACTAGCAAATTAAAATAATTTATTGAAGAAGTGTGTTGGATTAGAAAAAGACGGGCAGGTGAGGTTATCAGCATCTAAAAGAGAGAGAGAGAGAGATGGAGACAGACACAAAATATTTATTTATTTTACAATTCTAATAACAAAGATACTCAGCAGCCTAAAATTGTATTTGTCTGATTTTGTTGCCATATTCTACTTCCAAAACCCTCTTTACAAACATTCTTATCAAATTCCGTATCTCGGTGCACTTGATTTTCTTAGTCAGGAATTTTGTCTCTCAAATGTCATTCTCTTACCTTCAGCCCTTTTCTCTAATCTATGAAGATCATTTTGATTCCCTCATTACCTGTTTTTTACCCAACTTCTACCATTCGCAGATAGAAGAAGCATCCCCTCCACTTTTTTCACTAATTTAAATGCTTACAATTAATTAATTAATTAATTAATTAATTAATTAATTAATTAATTAATTAATGCTTACATTTAACTAGTTTGCTAATCAAAACATCATGAAGAACTGTATTTAATACCTTCCTGAAATTAATTATATTTGTAGAAGTTCAACAAAAGTTATCTGACTTTTTGAAAAAAGAAACAAGGTAAGATTGATCTGGTAATCCTCATTGATTAATCCATGCTGGCATCTGGCAATTACCACATCGTTTTCAAGATGTATGCAAATTAATTTGTGGTGTGTTCTAGATTGATAATTCCTTGGATCTTCCTTTTTCCCCTTATTGAATATAGGAACAACATTTTCTCTCCTTTAGTTGTCTGCCAATCCTCCAGGATTTTTGCAGATGATACATAAAGATTTGGTGAGGCCATTAGCAAGTTCCTACAGCAGCCTATTATGCAGTTCTTCTGACCTTGGGAATTTAAATTATTTTTGATTAAAGATTTATTCCATGATCATGTCTCTCAATTTCAAGCTAATATTGCTATTTTATTCTGCTGTTTACATTTACCTCTCACACATGGGAGGAAAAATGCGCCAAAATACTTTAAAAGCTCCATCCTTTTGTTTCTTTTCTTTTAGCATTTTGATGCTCTGAGATTTGTTCAAGGATATAAATGCAAAACAGATAGAGTCTGGGAATGAGTAAATTACCAGATTTTGATCCAAGCACAGATAGGATGTTGAAGAAAATGTAGCTTACTGTAGTGACCATGCCATGCCACACCTGGACTATTAGAGGCCTGACCAAACTCTGCTTTGTTTTGTCCATGTTTCAGGATCACCGCTACCTCACCCCCTACACTCCCATCTGTATAGCAAAAGCTGTGAAAAATGTGACAGAAGCAGAAGGCATGAGGAAGGCTCATGTAAGTGATCTTCCCAGTTTCCTAAAGCAACAGCCTTCGGTGCAAAAAGCTGAAATAATGAGATATTGTGGGAAGAATTGCTTTCATTGCAATTGACTGCTAAAATATATATGGTAACCACTGGGTGGATTTTTCCAAATTCTTGTACACTTTTAACTGTTTTATTTCTCCTTCTTTTAATAACAGATTAAAGATGCTGTTGCGTTGTGTGAGCTGTTTAATTGGCTGGAGAAGGAGGTACATTTTTGTGAACTTTTGTTATGAGAGGAGTATTACTTGGAGTGAACGCTTACATAAATAGCATAACAGCATCATGGATCTAGGAAAGACATAACCAACCTTGAGCCATGTAGGCCTTTATGAGTAATGACTATTGTGGGTCCTGAACAGAGGTATAATGTGTTCTCTGAGTCTAGAAGGGGCATCAAGTTATGGGCCTACATTCTGGGGGAGCACAACCTGTTATCCTCCAATCAGGATTCTTAATAAATAGCCATTCTGTCTTGTTTGGGTCGAACCTGTACCTATTTCTCCCTATTCATATCCTGAAGGCTTCCAGGCATTGTGTGTTCTGCCATCTTTCATTTGGCACACAGTGAAGGTACTGGGTATCACCTGCCTATTGATGATACCTCATTCTGAAATGTTGGGTGACACTTCTAGTCTTTATATCCAGTTATGTAGATGTTAAGAGTTGAGAAAATACCAAACTCTGGGACACAAGAAAATGAATAAGGAACTGTCCTCTCCCCTCCTTTCATCACTAACAGAATTTGCAATTCAGGAAAGAACAGAAGGACTGTAAAATGTTGCTTCCAACTTCCAACTCTCATAGGTGGTGCCAAAGGATAGTGTGGTCAATAGTGTTGAAGGCTGTTCTATTAATAATAATAATAATAATAATAATAATAATAATAATAATAATAATAATAATAATAATAATAATAATAATAATAATAATAATAAAGTTGGAAGGACCTTGGAGGTCATCTAGTCCAACCCCCTGCTCAGGCAGGAAACCCTATACCATTTCGGACAAATGGCTGTCCAGTTTCTTCTTAAAAACTTCCAGTGTTGGAGCATTCACCACTTCTGGAGGCAGGTTGTTCCACTGGTTAATTGTTCTAACCATCAGGAAGTTTCTACTTAGTTCTAGGTTGCTTCTCTCTTTGGTTAGTTTCCATCCGTTGCTTCTTGTCCTGCCTTCAGGCGCTTTGGAAAATAGCTTGACTCCCTCTTCTTTGTGGCAGCCCCTGAGATATTGGAACACTGCTATCATGTCCCCCCTCGTCCTTCTCTTTGTTAAACTAGACATACCCAATTCCAGCAGCCGTTCCTTATATGCTTTAGCCTCCAGTCCCCTAATCATCTTTGTTGCTCTTCTCTGTACTCTTTCTAGAGTCTCAACATCTTTTTTACATCCTGGTGACCAAAACTGGATGCAGTATTCCAAGTGTGGCCTTACCAAGGCATTGTCAAGTGGTATTAATACTTCACGTGATCTTGATTCTATCCCTCTGTTAATGTAGCCTAGCAGCCTATTAGTAGTAGTGAATGTCCAATAGGATAAAAATAGTCACAATCCTCTCTCCAAGCCCTACCACAAGTCATCCATAAGAGCAAACAATGAAATTTCCATTCCATGTCCAATACGGAATATTCCCAATTATGTCATTGAGATATATTCTTCATAACTGATGCATAGACATTTTGTAATTATTGGTCCACATATTTAATACTAGTATGTAATGGAGGCAAGCTAACAATGGCATATCAGAAAAAATGTAGGTATGCAAAAAATAAAAAAAGTCTGACTGAGGATATGCTGTTATATTGATTTAATACAACTTTGTCTGATCCTTGCCAGGTTCCCAAAGGCAACATTACGGAAATCATAGCAGCAGATAAAGCAGAGGAATTTCGTAGGTAAGAAAAAGACTCACGTGGGATGTCCTGGGTTACTGCAGTCCAGGTTCAGCCAACTGTAGAGGTGGCAGCGACTGTTAGATGATTTCACATGCCAAAAAAATGACATTGTTCTTTTAAAAATAAGCCACGAAATATCACGAGATTTCATTTGGGAGCAGATAATATTGTGCCATTTGGCAGTCTTTCAAGATTTCAGCCATTTTTAATTTTAGAAATTACAATGTTTTGTGGACTGTAAACTCTACTTTTAAGACAAAATTAATAAACTTGAGTATAGACCCTATTCTGAAGCAGTCCAGCTAACATTTAACTGTTGTTAGTGGATGGAGACTCTAAAGGGACCATTAATCTAGTGCCTAATTCCCCCTCCATTTCAGCTTTCCAAATCTTGGTTGATTTACTACCTTATTATTAATCTAGGGCAGTGGTTCTCAACCACAGACCACAGATCCCCTTTAAATACCTTTTGTGGCCCTGGACCACGGCCACGGACCACCAAGACTTAATTTAAATTTAAATCTTAACATTTCTTCAGTCCTTCGCAGACCCTCAATGAAGACATCGTGGCCTGTCCTAGAAGTCCGCGGACCACATATTGACAACCACTGTTCTAGAATAAGCTGAACAAGTCCTGGCTTGCATGACTAAGTTGTTAGGTTCCACATCTCCGGGAAACTGTCCTCACTGAACTGGAGTAGTGAAAGATGAAGACTTTGGTTGGTCTTGGTTTCTTAGTATTCATAGTTGTGTACCTTCTCCCTATAATAGTTCTTAGCAGTTCAAACCCCACCCAGCTAAGGGGGAAAGAGAATAGGCAAATCGGATACAGAAGAGGCAACTGAAGGAAATATGACTAGGAAGAATCTGAGGCTTTCCCCAGAGATTTGGTTTTTTTCATGACATGTATGTCTTTTTCAGCCAGCAAGAGAACTTCGTTGACTTGAGCTTTGCTACCATTTCAAGTACAGGCCCAAATGGTGCTATCATTCATTACACGTAAGAGCAATAAAAGTCCTTGCACCTCACTGCTGATTGTATAACCAAAAGGACAGCTAGCATGATAGTATCTAGCAGCTTAGTTCAAATTAAGGGATAAATTGATTACTATAACTGGATTGCAATGAGCAAACCTTTTCCTCACATTCCAACTCATCAAATATAACCCTTATGTCATTTGAGGCTTCTTAGACCTGAAATGATAATCTCCATCAGTGGTAGCCTTATTCTAGACTTCTGGCTATTTAGTTTATGTGGGGATTAGAGAATTAGAATCTTCATACTGTCTTGGGATTTCTTTATACCTGTTTGTGGAAGAAATAACAAAGAAGAATCTGACTTGTGCCATAATCAGATAGAGATAGAAGTTGGCTTTAAGATTGGTTGCTTTCTCTTCTAGCTATTTGTGTGTTCAAAATTATTACTGTCAAAATGGAATCCTTGTGATTATTGCCATAAAAGTCCAAAATGTGAGGCTTATTATCCCTGTTGCCAAGGACTGCATGACTTAGAATTTGGAAAACTGCCCTTTTAAAAGAAGGCTTAAAAATAGTTTCAGTGAACAGCTGAGTCTTGGTCAGAGAGCTTGCTTTGGAATAGAAACTAAAACAGATTTAAACGATAGTTAAAGATGAAGGAAAAGGAACTACCATGCCTAGGCTGCTTACTCTCTATTTACCTATTTCTTCAAAGTATGCAAATACAATACACTACATGAGAGTTCAATCCAAGGAATTAAGTTGTCAATATTTATTTATTTAAATGTTTACAGCCTCTCATCTCCCATTTCATTATAGCAATTCTGGGTAGCTAACAACATGTAAAAACACTTTACAAAATAAGAACTAAATAAAAATATAGAAAATTTATAATAAGTGCTGAGATAAAAAAACACACCTGATAAACTATGAACATCTCCCAGAGTCCAGCTAACCTAAACTCCAGTGCCCGGGAACAGATCCAAATTTTTAAAGCTTTTTGGAAGGCTTGCAAGAGTCATGGCTAATCTAATCTTGGAAGATAAGATGTTCTGAAGGGCAAGTGCTCTGATGGAAGAATCTCACTTTCTGGGCTCCACAAGATGATATTCTTCCAATAGATAAAGAATGCCACAGAATGTCTTTCCTGCCTGATTGAAAGGGATTGGTAGAAATGACCACGGAGAGTTACCGTGTAGCTAATACATTTTATAAAGAAACAAACAGCGCACTAATAATCTGGCTCCATGCTGCAAAAGACTTTATAAATGATAACTACCATCCTTCAACATATTTATTTTTTATTAGCTTATAGTATAAAATATGAAAATACAAAAGCAAGTAGTAGGGAACAAAGGGAAGGGGAAAGGAAAAAGAGATGTATGGAATAGGAGGGAAAAAAGAAAAAAAGGCATTGACTTCCGACTCCCTCTGTTGCAGTAAAATAAGGCATTATCATCCAAACTCAACTTTTTTACTTTTCCATAATAGTATAAACTAGCCATTTCTATAACAACAAATCAATCTAATCAGTAAAATCCAAAATCAAAGCACAAAGTCCAGAAGCGGCTTCCAAGTAGAGACAAAAGTACTTGTGTGCTTTTCTTTGATCAGAACAGTCAATTTAGCCATCTCTGCTAACTCCGTCAACTTTTGTAGCCATTCATCCATGGTGGGAATCGAAACATTTTTCCATTTTTGTGCATAAAGTAATCTTGCTGCTGTCAACATATATAAAATCAGAATTTCAATTTTTTCCCCAAGTCTTTTTCCATTAGGCCCATAAATTTATGGTTTTATCTGTACATTCACTTTAAGAATTTTCTGTATTAGAATATGAATCTTACTCCAATATTTCTTTGCTTTTTCACATGTCCACCATAAGTGATAAAAAGTACCTTCTTTACATTTACATTTCCAACATTCATTTGAGATATCTTCATCCATTCTAGATAACTTATCTGTTAAATACCAATGATACATTATCTTATAAAAATTTTCTTTTAAATTGTAATTTAGGGTGAATTTTAAGCCTTTCGTCCACATATTCTCCCATTGTTCAAGCATCACATTATACCCCAAGTTCCTTGCCCACTGAATCATACAATGTTTTACATGTTCACTTTCCAAATTCAATTTCAATAACATTTTGTAAACCTTAACAATAATATGTTCATCACTATTACATAGTAAAGTTTCCAATTCTAATGATAACTATCATCTTGAGTTGACACAGAATACATCAAAGTGAGCCGATAGCTGCCCACACCATTGCATTCTGAACCAGTTGAAGCTCCCAGATGTTGTTCAAGGCCAGCCTCATGGGGGCAGCCTTCTGTAATGAAATGATGGAATGACTTTGAGGGACAAGGGGACAAAACACTGCCTAGGACCTGAGCAGATAAAAGAGGAGGAGCTCTCAATGCTTAATGGGCAAAGAAAGAAACTTTAAAAGGATCTGCCCTAATAGACTGTTAAAAGTGATGGCAGGAGATTTGAATTTAAAGACTTGTAAGATTCTGTTAATGTAGCCTGGGAATAAAATGGAATTACATCACCTGATTGTATTTCTTATTTGGTTTACCTGGGAGAACTTGGAGGTGACCAAGCCATGATTGACTAACTAGTGCCTCTTAATTCAATTAGTGCAGAAAAAGAAGTGCTAAAACTCTCCCAGCCAAAGTTTCCATGTTTTCCTTTAAGAGCAAGTCAAGGAGGAATCCCAAGTGGAAAATCACCATATCTAAGGACCCTCAAACACAATGCCACTCAGTCTTGCTAGGGATTAAGCTAAAGCCTGCAGTTCCCCATTTGCCTCCCCTCCTCAGCTTCCAGACACCAAGACAACACATCCATAACCTCACTTGGTTGCCTATGGTAGAAATGTAGAATTGGGTATCATCAGCATACTTATCATATTTCAACGGGGACATTAGATAACCCCCAAAAAGTTTTATATAGTTTTAAAGTGAAAAATAGAGACATCTGAACTTGGAGGCACCTCACGCAGAAGGAAGAGATCAAGGAGAACAGGATAGATACACCAGACCCATTCTGTTCCTGCCAAATTTTATCCACAAGAGCAGTGAATGCTGTTTAATCAGCAAGATCTGAAACCTGACTAAAAGGGGTTCAGATAATTTACTTCCTCCAAGGTTCTCTGAAGCTACAGGGCAACCAGTGGTGGGATTCAGCCAGTTTGCACCACTTCAGAAGAACAAGAAGCTATTTTTTTGTTGCCCAGGCCCAGCATGGACTTCTGGAAGCGGCATCCACACAGAGAACCGGTTGTTCACATATTTGAATCCCACCACTGAGGGCAATCATTTTCTCAACTATCTTTCCCCAAAAGAAAAAGTTGGAAACAGGATGGAAGTTTCCAATATGGTTGAGTTCAATGATGGCTTCTTGAGGAAAGTGTTAACCACTACTTTATTTAACATCAACAGGACAGGTTTCTTCCTCAAGGAAACAGGTGTGTACTAGATGTTAGTAGCTATTCCACCACCTCTGCCCTGAACTTTTGGTTGATGTCAGGTTTATGAGAGAGAACAGTCCCTCCAAGCCATCCAGGTCTTAGTTATACATGAAGTTTGTAGATACCTAGACTATTATATGTAACAGACCAACCAACTGTGTTAATGCTAAGCATAATACATGCATAGCAAAGTTAATAATCTAACTATATAATTTAAGCATTCCTGAAACAATGTTGAAACAATAAATTATGTTATTGTTATTGTTATTGCTATTATTATTGTATAGGCCTTCTCCTGAAACAAATAGAACTTTGTCCTTGAGTGAGATCTATCTCTTGGATTCTGGTGCTCAATACAAGTAAGTGGGTTATTATTCTTACAGCTTACGCTCCTATTTTAAACCAATAAACCTATTACAACATTAAGTCCCTTTTCTGATCTATATTAAGTAGGTATAAACTCTTTAAATCATCTCAGATTTGTTCTGAAGAAACTTAGTGAAAAAATAATGAGTTCAATTATTGTTATTCTGACAAAGGTGGGGAAAGGTTTTTTTTTTTTAAACGAGCACTTAATTATTTCATCTTCTATTCCATTATGACTTCTTCTTTGTATGGATGCTGGACTTGAACTCCAATGACTGGGCAGTTAATATTTTAGCAGACTGTTTGTTTTTGTTTTGTTTTGTTGGAATGCAAATATTGATGTTTGCCATACTAGAATATTGCTAAAATGATGCAATATCAGAGACCAGTTTTTTCTGAACATATGTTTCCTGTAAATAAAGAATAATAAAACATTAGAATAACATTATTTGCTTAAATTTAGCTTAAGGGATGCTTAAGAGGCTATAAATGGTAGAGAAACATCTGACATATTTTAATGAAAGACATAATGAAACTTCGCAGACAAGATATATTTCCATTGAAATTTATGGCAACCTTTTAAATTAAATTTTGTTTTTATTTTAGCTTTGTTTTCCTTATGATGGATCAAGTTTGAAATAGATGTAACATAGATGTAACTAGATATTACAGTTAAGACGACCCTAGTTCCTAGGATAACATACAGAGATTTTAATGATGTTAGTTTGACGGAGAAATATAAATTTGTTAAAGAGGCTAGAATAGCAATAGCACTTAGACTATTCACAGTGCTTTATGGCTTTCTCTAAGTGGTTTAGAGTCAGCATATTGCTGCCAACAATCTTGGTCCTTATTTTATTGATCTTGAAAGGATGGAAGGCTGAGTCAACCTTCAGCTGGTCAGGATCGAACTGCTGGCAATCAGCAGAATTAGCCTGCAATCCTGCATTTTAACCACTGTGCCACTATGGCTCACTAAGAATGCTTAACAGTTGTAGCATTTCAGCATTCAGTGTATTTACCATCAATCTTCTAGTTGTAATTCTGCAAAAAAGCAATCTTCTTCTTATGGCATATGGGAAACTGAGGTGGTAAGAGAACAACATTCCCAAGGCTATCTACTGAGCTCATGGCAGAATGAGAGTTGACGTGAGGATGACTTGAATTGTAGCCTACTCTCTTAGAGTATTTTGGAAAGATTTAATAAAGATTTAAACTGCTTTACTCAAGTTTGAAGAATGTTGCAGACCTGACCTGCTCTTTAGGGGAAAATTGTTTCTTCAGAATTTTGGCATTTTTGCTAGCCAACATTCTTAGCGGGCCTTTGAATGGGAGCTGTGTGAATGTTCTTTGATAAGACATACAATGGGATCTTTCTCTTCTCAGACAGTCTAATTATTGGTTCCTTCAGATTTACAAAGAGAAGCAGCCACTTGAGAATAATGAGTTAGCCATCCATAATATTTTCCAAGCTATAAGGACAGCAGAACTGAACTAGCTGAGGTTGCAAAGTTAATGGCAGGACTTTTCAGGTCAAGTCATGACCTGAACGGGGCAGAGTGCTTGGAACTCTGAATATAACAAACTTGGAAAAAATTCTTACTTCAGTCTAATGTCCATCCATGCTGATGAAGTGGTAAGTGGACTGAAATAACTTAAGATTACACATTTTCTGCCAAAGTGTGTATAACCTACAAAAGAGCCCTTCCTAACATCTTACTTCCCAAATAGGTTGGTAACAGTCCTCAGAATCTGCACTGAGTCTTAGAACTGCTGTTCAGGCCATACAAAATATACCAGATTAGTAAAGGCTTCTGAGGAATCATAGAGATAAAAGGATTGCTTTTACAAGGCTAGTCTCCTAAATAAAGACTAAGGCAAGATTCTATTATTTCTAGGAATAATCCAGCAAGTAGATAAAACAGTAGTATTAGCCGAACTTTGAAAATTTCTCCCACTGGATCCAGATGTTCAAGTTTTTGCATCCACTTCTTTTTTACTGTTTGCCAAACATCCAATAAATTCTGAAGAAATTTAATATTTGCTTTCTACTTTGTTTGGTATTGGTGATTGTTATACACCTGCTTATATCCCCTACCACTATAGATGATCAGAATTTTGCTTACTGTAGATTCTTCTGGCTTTGTAATCTTCTTAAGTCGCTTGTAATTATTGAATTTCAACTGATAATTTGGATTAAATTTCCAAATTGAATTTGGTGGAATTCCTTCAAACTTTTGAATTTGAGCAGTTGATTTTTGGAATTGAATCAGGTAGAATCAGTAAACTTAATCAAATCAAATCAACACTTTGGTCAGAGATAATTCCTACACATTTAGGTTGACATCTGTGGAAGCACACGCCCCTAAGTTTTCCCCTTTATACTATGTTAACATGATTTGTTTCTCCAGTGTTGATTGGTTCAACACAAGGCAATTTATTGTATAGCTTTTACTTTATGAGTGCAAATAACTGGTCTATGAAATGCTGCTGTAGTCTTACATAAAGAGGCATCCTTGCGTGCATTGCAGAATTAGGAAGAACTTAGATCATTCAGTACAGCTTCTTGTGTTGAAGCCAAGTCTCTTGCGCCTAAACATTCTGAACAGCTTTGGGCTAACAACAAGAACACGCAGACAGCTTTCCAGGCTGAAATGTTTCATAGGCAGAGAGCAGGAAAGATGCCAATGCCAAAAAGGCCGGAGGGCTATGCAATAGATTGGTTAAAATAGAATTTCATTTCTTTTTTATTTTGTTCTAGTATACTGACAAACTAGTAAGAAGGTGCTTTTGAGCATACAAGTTTAAGGGGGCAGGAAGACAAATTTTTGGAAGTTGTAGTATTACATTTTTAAAATGTGTTTAAAATTAATTTTAAAAGTTTTTCAGTATCATCTTGTAGCTGAAATATTTGTGGATCTGTAGGACATCTCAGAATTCTGGAGAAACATGGTAGTTCAGGAGTTTGAAGATCATCTGCTAATATGTGTTGAAAATCAATACTGCTGCAGTTATTTTTTCTGTTTTGCTATTTCACCTTCTGTGTTTACATTTTAGATCACCTTGAAGGTCTGCTAGGCATATTCCAAGTTATAAATCAAAATAGTTCAAGTATATTGACTAGATTTCCATATTATGCTAAGCCATAATGTTATTTGTTTGTTTTGGCTTAGTATGTTTCAAACATCCATTCATTGTTGTTTCTAATGCCTGTTATCGTTTAGCATGTTGCCTGAACCAGGCTGTATGACTGGTAACAAAGCCCAATTAAAACAAATTGTATTTTTTGAAAGATAGGAACATAGCCATATGAAAAAATAAAAATATTATAAAGTTAATAATAGTAATGCAAAGTAGAAAAATAAGCATGACAGTATCTATTGATTATTTATTCATTCTGCCATTTGGTAGACAATTTCTACATTTTAGTTTCCAAAGGAAGACTGATGCACAGGGTTCCTTTATGAATAATCTTATTCAAACTCTAAAATGCTGAAGGAGAGCCAGTGGTCTTTCAGTGTCTCTGTGAGATAATTTCATTATATAGCACTACCTCTCAGTAATGAAAAGGCCTCTTATCAGGGCAAGCAGTGGCTATTCTAGTGGAATCTTATTCATTCTATAAAACTGTTTGAAAACATCCACAAAATATATTCTTCCTTCACTGTGTATTAGTTATTAGAATTTGAACCTGGTTTTTAATCTTATAATATTGGCAACATCTTTTTTAGAATTTCTTTTTGTTCTTTTTTATTGAAGGGATGGAACTACAGATGTGACAAGGACTATGCATTTTGGTACCCCATCGATGTATGAGAAGGTATTCAAAATATTTTTTCCTAATTGCCTCTCTTAATCAGTAAACATTATAGGTTACATAATTTGCTAGATTGCATTCTTTTAACGTAGGGAACTATTTGAAAATCAAATCTGATAATATGGATTGTCCCTTAAATGTTATAGGTAACATATCCAACCTTAGGCATCCAAGACCATTCACCAACATGGACGCCAGCTTCCATAAGGAAGGAGTGATTCTTTGAAAGATATCTGGAAACTATTAAACTAGGGAAACAGCAAACAAGTAATTCAACAGAGTTAACATGTTATCTTGTGCACTCCCGAGTCCTCCTATAGCTCGTACCATGTATCCTCAAAGTATACTGTACATTTTTCCAAATCATATGTACAAGTGCATCCTGTTCCAGCATTTCTGTATTAGCCCAGCTCTGTCTGTCTATATAGTTGATTGGCTGACTATGTCAGTAGTAGATTCACAGATCCCTAGCTATTGTGTTGCCCAGCTGGTGTGTTTATTATCCTATCTTCTGCAGCACCACTGAACATAAGCTGTACATCATTTTTATCCATAGGGCATTACAATTTACCTTTTATTTTGATCAATTTGACATTAATGATCTTGTCAGTGCAATTGGTCCATGATTTGTTTTGAAGTTAACTCAAATCTTTGGACAAATAACTGAAAATGAAGAGAAAAGAAAGAAAATGAAGAGAAAATTCTATTTTTTCAACAATGTAACTACAGTTTGGTGTTGGGGAAAAATAATGTTCTAAAAGCAAAATCAGCATACATCAATTTGTTTCCAGTTTTTTCTACTTTCCAGTAGATATTAAGCTAATTATTTTTATAGCTACTTTGAAGAGATGCAGCAAGTTAATGAATCCTATTTTTTTATTTTTAAGTTAATACATTCAATGCTACTTTTTTGGTCTAAGCAACATTATATAAATCAAGAAAAAGAGTACGTAGTCAGAAAAGAAAATTGAAGGAAGGTAACAAAAAGAAATACATCTAAAACTAGTTTATACACACTTAATTTATTATATCTCTGTATCTTTTTAGCTACTGCAATTCATCCTTGCTTTCTCCGCATCCATATAGCACCTTAAACTTCTCATTTTTCTTTTTTGAGGAACTCATCAACTCCAACTAATCATGACTGCCTTGGTTTCCCCCTTCCTCTCAACCCATTCATTCTTTGCAATTTGTACCTCATTCATCCTCTCTGCATCCTCAAATCATTTCAAGGTACTTTGGCTTTAGTCACCCACTTCACAAACCAATGCATCATTGCCATATCTCTAAAATTAAGAAGTATATGCAGTGTACTAGCATAACTTAATAATTTTATTCTGGTCAATGACAGAAATTGTTAATACAACTATATAGCAGAGCCAAGGAGAATATTTTTTGGAAAATCCATGTAAAGACTGATTGTATGAAACCTGGATTTTTCAGTCAACAGCCTCTATCCCTATTAGTCTTAGAGAGACTAATACTGCTCTTTATTATCTTTATTATCCATCAAAAATAACTGCAACCTCAAATATATTGACAAATATCAGCCCAGAAATGTTTATAAAATGGACTGGGCCACAAATAATTAGACATTTGTTTTAATTTGCTTTATTTATTGTGTTTTCTTTCTTTTGCAGGAGTGTTTTACCTACGTCCTGAAGGGCCACATAGCAGTCAGTGCAGCCATATTTCCTAATGGAACCAAAGGTTGAGGTTTTTTAAAATTATTTTTCAGTATCTTCTTTTAAAGTGATCAGCAGCAGCTGTGGTGATGTCATTTTCATTATTTAGTTGGAATTGAAAGGAGGTATTCAGGGCATTCAGTCCAAGAGATTGGAAGTGTACATATGTCAATAGAGTTTAATTCGTATCCTGAGTAGCTTTGAGTGGCTCAGCTCTCAATGATTCACTTGGTGACTTTGGTCCCCTATTGTGTCTCATGGTGCATTCACTCATTGTATTAACTATGTATTAACAATATTTTTCCTAGGCCAGAATTGATTAACTGCATTAAAATATGAATTAGGGTTTATAAACAATAACATCTCACCAGACTGTTACAGAAGCTTTTAGCTGGTGTGTATATTGGGTGTTGTACTTTCAGTATGTTATCGTTGAAATTTTAATAAAGTAAACTCTTGTCTTTGTTATTTTGTACCAATGTGCAATTCCTATTGCAGGATTAGAACTTTCAAGAATTCCACAGTATTTAGTTTCTCCTCTGGGTCATGCTATTCTGGCAAGTTTTCCAAATTTAATTCTTTAAACTAGAAATAATTTGTGATGCTAGACATGGTATGACCATCTTTCATCTCTGATACTAAATTCAGAGTATCACAAATTCTGTTCAGATAATTAATATAGGGAAAATCACTAGATCATCACTAATTACTTTAGAGAATTAATTTATGACAAAATCAGTAGACATAATGGCCAGATCATCAGGTCCCAGAGGAGAAACAAAATGTTCCCCGAGCCATTTCCTATTACAATCTTCTTGATTATAGAGTAAAAATATAACTAGAAAAAATGATATTTTGCAGTTGTTATATTTGTATCTTGGTAACTTTTGCCTTTGTATATAGGTCATCTCCTGGATTCCTTTGCTCGCTCTGCATTGTGGGATCAAGGCTTAGATTACTTGCATGGTACAGGTCATGGAGTTGGTGCTTTCCTCAATGTACATGAAGGTCCATGTGGCATTAGCTACAAAACATTTGCAGATGAACCTCTGGAAGCGGGAATGATTGTTTCTGATGGTAACTTATCCCTGTTGATTATTATATGAAAATAGCTATAGACCCTTTTGGGCAAATGTGTTCTGCTCTTTTTTTAACTTTTGGAATATTCATATAAGAATGTTTAACCCTTGCATACTTTTTGGTTCCACATATTTTACAGGGAAGGACAAGAATGCAGGGGTATTTTCTAAAAACAAACAAACATGAATAATGCAATTATCATACTATTTTGTATTTTTAAAATGTCTTCAAATATTCAGACTTTTTTGTACGTGCTTTATCTCAATAATCAATAAAATAGTTCTGTAAGGTCAATTATTCAGTTTCTGACAAGAGTCATCTCAAAGATGTTTTCTTAGATTAGGTCACAGATGTTTATCCCTGGAATGATTTATCTACCCATCTTGTATGCACGAAACATAACTTTTTTTTAATCAACTATATGAAATTTGAGGAGCTGTTGGCCAATAAATACTTGAATATTTCTTACTCGTTGAGCGTTTTGCTCTTATTTGTGAGAGTTTTATTCTAAATGTTTTTTCCCCTTAATTGTGTCTCTATAGAACCTGGTTATTATGAAGATGGCTCTTTTGGGATCCGAATTGAAAATGTTGTCATTGTTGTTCCGGCTAAAACAAAGGTAATTGATCCTTCAGCATCTCCAGGACATGATTTTAATGTGCAATGCCTCCCTGATGGTCTATTTAGAAGTTTAATCAAAATAAACAAGCCCTTTAATGCAGGGATCCCCAATCCCCGGTCCGTGGACTGGCACCGGTCCATGGCATGCCAGAAACTGGTCCGCACAAACAAGCGAAACCCCATTCACGGGATGTAGGCAACACACAAAACCATGCCCCCTCCAGTCTTCAGGAAAAAAACTCTTTCCACAAAACAGGTCGCTAGTGTCCAAAAGATTGGGGGCTGCTGCTTTCATGTAACAGTATACTTAGTTCCCAGCATATGGCTCAGATTTTGGAATGTATTCTACTTTTCATATGTACTTCCCTCTGGGATGCACAGCATGAGGGCTTTGGACACCAACTGCATTTGAACATCTCCTTTGATACCTGTTAAGTTTGATTCTTTTTATTTAAGAAAATTAATGGGAAATTGGCACCCATTATATAGGAGGTAAAATGGTGGCTAACTATAGTTCCATGCATTAAGAACATGCAAAGTAAGCTGAGCTGAGATTGAAGCAGGTCATAAAAAACAACATCAAAACTGATTTTGAAGCTGGCATGATAACCATTTTGTGAGAGCACCCTAACATGACCCCGTATGCTCACTAATTCACAGAGTTTGACTATTCAACTTACCTATTTGCTGACAAAACCCATACATTTTACATTTGATCAGAAGAGAAATATTAATTTCACTATGCCTACATACTTTCATACTAGATTCCTTGGTTGGAAATTTTTTAACAAGTGGGAACTTTATTAAAGTCTGTTTTAAAGTGTATTTCTTTAGAACAGGGCAAGACAGTCTGGCAATTACCCATACCCATATATCTGTTCCTCTGGATATGATGTTTTTAGGAGAAAAAACCCGCTCCTCTGACCAAGTAGCGTTTTCTTCTTCACAGTATAACTTCAGCAACAGAGGGAGTTTGACTTTTGAACCATTGACCCTGGTCCCAATCCAAACTAAAATGATACTTGTTCATCTACTGACTCAGAAAGAGGTAAGAGGGGTAATAAATTGCAGTGTGGTGTATTTGGAAGCTTTTATTCTGAACTTTGAAATCAAGCCAAAATGACAATATTTATTTCTTATTTACAGCCAAACGTATCTCAGTCATTTCTGTTATAAAATGAAGATAAAATAAATAACACCAGGGGTATTTGGAAAAGGAGTTCAGGTGGTTGGGTAGGAAAATCTCCTAATTCACCAAGAGTTCAGGAATACAGTGTATTACATTTAATATAAAGGAAGACAGTCCCGACCTTAAGATGACTAATTCAAAGAAAATTAGATAAAAACTCCATTATCTATTCTGAGTGAATTTAAGGGGGTTTTAAACATAGGCACGCATACACACACAAGACATGCACCTTATGTTACTGGAACTACATCACACATTGGTATTTTCCCTGCTTTTCTATGCTGCAAGCACCCAAAACAAACACAAAATATACAAAGTTTAAAACAAAGATTAAAATTATTTATTAAATTTATTTGCAAGTTATATGAGGTATTTTTTAGCTACTGAGGTTATTGTACAGTAGTGGTTTCTCAATACTTTATCCAAACTCAGGTTCAAGTTATAAAAGTTACCAAACATAATGTAGCTATCATGCAATATATACACTTGCTGAACTACCAAGGAGGAACTAGACAACTGCAAAGATGCTGTTAATACCTACTAAAGGCTGGGAAAAAGTTGGAGATGTTAATGAGTAATTGCAGAGTCATCTTTGGGGATGGGCTTATGCAATGTGAGTAGATTTACGTATGAATAACAGCCATAGAAAGTTTGCCAATAGTATTGAAACTTTAGCAAGCTATGAATTGTAATGTAGTAGAAAAGAATGCAATTCCTCACTAGAGCTAACAATATTATTATGTGCTCTACTTATATCTTACTATAATGTCCTGGATTTCCTAAGCATGTAATCAGGACATACGTTAAAGAGAGATATTATAAGCTTCCTGCAGAAGTATAAAAACCTTTAATAATGAAATATACTGTATCTTGATCCCTCTCCCTAAAAGCCTATTATTACTACTACTACTGGGAGCATTGGGCACCCAGTGAACAAAACAATAGCAAATTACGCAGATGCTTTTAATAGATAAGAACAGAATTTTTGAAAGTAAGGCTAGGTAATTAGGAGCCTGAACAATCCCTATTTATTCATAGTAAACCCTGGCAAGTTTAAAACTCAAAACCAAAATAAAATAAGTCCGTCTTCTATACATCGTATGTAAATTATGCATCTAATTTATGGTATCAGATAAAATCTTTGTTACTATCATAGACTATCAGAAATGGAATCAATAAATGCATACATACATACATATCTAGACAAATAGATGACAAAATCGTGTGTCATGCAATAAATGAAGTCTCACATTTGTCAGATTTCTTAACATTATATCCTGCCCCACAATTCTCTGTGTAGTGGTGCCTGTCCTCTCAAACAAGGTTGCCTCCTAGATCTATATGCCACCCCCCCTCTGCTGTTGTTTCGAAGGACTGTGAAGAACCATTTTTTTTATCCAAATCTGTGATGAAGGAGAAGTGAAGTCCCTTCCCTTCATCGTGCTTGCCATTTTTTAATCTTTCTTCTAGACAGGTTTTTTCTTTTTCCTTCCTTTTAGTGTGACTGGCTGAATGACTACCACAGAAAATGCAGAGAAGTGATTGGGGCAGAACTTGAACAACAAGGAAGACATGAGGCCCTTCAGTGGCTCATTAGAGAAACAGAGCCAATCTCTCAAATACACTAATAGAGTATTTCTATTTTTGGATGTAATTCCTTTTTAAAAATCCATGTTCAGGACTGCTTTGGCTTTACAATGATGATTTGGGGGAGGCATGAGTTTTTTAAAAAGAATAATAATCAAGAGAAATAAAAGAAGAACAATGGGCAAGGTAGAGGGTAAAAGGATTTATTCCCCTGTGATATTCTCTCTGTTTTTTCCTTTTGATAATGAACAAAATTAAATTCAGAGCTTAAATCTGTGTCTTAAACAATGAGATGGGTTAGTGGGAAAGAACGCATGGCTGTGAAACTAATCTCTGGATCAGATTGATCAATTTCCTTGTATAAACAATGAAAGTAAGAAAATATGCCATAATGTGAGTTGGCTCTTGGTGGCAATTTTCTCAAATGTTAAGGAGGAATGGTATTGCATCAAAGGTGCACATATCTGCTAAAATTAGTGCCTGCATAGGTTTAAGTTTCCTGAAAAATAGAATTTCTCATAATTATTCTTGAAAGATTTTAGCATCTGGCTTTGCTGCATCTCATATTTCAGAAAGGCAACTAGTTACTGCATTTTTATCCTTCAATAAAGGAAGTGCCAAACAATACTTTGCATTTTTGAAGCATTCATGACTGATCATATACCATTCAGTGCATGCAGGCTGTATCTTCTCTGAACTAAGTCCATTGCATTCAGTTTTTTTTATTCCAAAACATGACTGCAACCTCAGCAGAATATGTCTTGATAGCCTCATGCCATCTCAACTAACTGAGCAATTTATTTTCAATAAATAATAAATGGGGCAATCTGCAATTGAGTAATACCAGGGGATGGGGTGTAATTTTTTCTTTTTTCTTAGTACATTAAAAATTCTGAAACTCTTTTGGACAGAGATATAGCCACATTGCTGAAGCATGCAATATAACACAACCAAATTTTCTCATGACTATATATTTCTAAATGTGTGTAATAAGTAAACATAGTATCAGCTAACGTAAGGATCTTTTGAATGTTTGAACAAATGCTTTCTGGGCTTTATTTTTTAGTCTGCAAGATCTCCAAGGACCTACAGGTGTTGACGCCTTATTGAAAAATTTAGTCCAACATTTTTGTGATAACTTGGAGTCAATAGAATGTCAAATCCCCTTGATTAAAGTAGACTATACTTTTCTTCAGGTGTTTCAAAGCATGAGAAAGTTGCTGGGCAAAACTTAGTGCATGTTTTTTTGGGGCTACACTGTATGCAACTCTGTGCACTCAGAGCATCCTGGATCTGCAGAAATAGTTTCAGAGAGAGAACTCAGAACTCTTTTGGCTATACTGGAAATGATGAGAGTTATCGCATTTTATGTGTTCTAGATTGGGGAAGGGTCACTAGTACAATTTGTGCATGTTTTAAAGCACACTTTTCTGTGGAGGACTGTGTTAACATTCATGTGTATCAATTAATTAAAAACATAAATTCTAAATAGTTCAAGTTTATTAATGTGATGACTTATGGGATGCCAACATGAGGTATTTATATATATATATATATATATATATATATATATATATATATATATATATATATATATATATATATATATGACACTATTGTAAGAAAAATAGTTCTTCAAGAAGCATATAAAAATACTTCAGCTGTCACACTATATAGAGAGTAATGCAGTTTGGGGAAAGAGAATGCAGTAGTAGTTGATTTAAAACCAAGTATGACAGTAGCAGTGTGATAGGGCTAGAAAAACAAAACAAAATGCAAATGCAGCTTTAGGCTTCATCAACAGAAGTATACTTTCCAAATTATGGAAAGAGTTGCTTCACTTCATTCTGCACTTTCATACCCCTCCTCAAAATATTTTGGCCAGTTCTAGGCATCACAGTTTTGAAAATGATTCAGATAAATTAGGGCAGGTTTAGAGAAGAACAACAAGGATGATTAGGGGGACTGGAACCAAATTCTATCAAAAGAAATGCTTAACTTGGAATAGGACACCACGGTATTCTAGAAATACTTGAAAAATATTGTACAGAAGAAAAAGACATGTTCTCTATCCATCAAGGGTGTTAAATATCCATCAAGAGTGTTAAATAATAGAGAACATGTCTTCATTTCCTTCTGTATATTTTTCAAGTATGTCGATGTAGGTTACTAGAATCAATTTCAATTCGTAGGAAAAATTTCCTAACGGGTAGTGGTACTAATTATTAGAAATGATAAATTCCCCTTCACTGGATCTTTGCTAGGTTCCCTTCACTAACCAGCCCATCTGACAGGGATTCCTTTACTGAAGAAGGCATTGGCTTCAGTGGCCAAAATTATCTTCCCTGATTCCAATACCTGTGCATTCAAAGCAAAGCATGAATTGCTGTGCAGTGAGATGGGTGGCAAACAAATTTAATAATAATAATAATAATAATAATAATAATAATAATAATAAAAATAAAAATAAAAATAAAAATAAAAATAAAAATAAAAATAAAAATAAAAATAAAAATAAAAATAAAAATAAATGAGGTAAACGAACACCAATATAAATTTGAAAGCTCACAACCTTTTCATTAAAGAGTTGTATCCCTATATATATATCTTAATGTATCAGAAATATATACTATTGTAAAAAGACATGGTGAAAAATCTGACAAACATTAACAATAGAAAAGCACCATTAAAGGAAAAGTTCATTTATTTCTCATGCTTTCCTACTTTTCTCAAAAGAATTTTTGGGGAAAATTGTTGGGAAAAATTCTTCCCAATTTTCTTCACCGCTCCTCTGAAAGAGTCAAGCTGTAAAAGCACATGACTCTGAGAGATCTTCACAGCTTGATGCACTAATCACCAGGCACTTTGTGAAGTTGGCAGTAGTTACTTCAAAAAAATCATTTTGCATCACTGAAGCAATGCAACCAGTAAGCATGGAGAGAATGAAGTTTGTTAAATGTAAATGTGTTGTTGAACTATTTTACATCAACTGACAGCCTGATGTATTCTTGAGGGGCCAAACAGTCTTTTTGCACCTAGTCTTGAGTATCTACTACACAAGCTTCTTCAAATGCTTTCACTATTTCCACTTGAAAAAAAAAGCCATCTGTGTATGCAGAGGACATGTGCAAAAAACTCTTCTGCTTGTTAGAAGTATCAGTCAAGGCTGTGAACAACACAACCCAAGAGGACATATTGTTCCAGTGGGACAGCTTCAAAGGGATACTTTGCAGAAATCCTTGAAGCAAAGTCCCTCTTTGCTGCTTTTCATGGCCTGCTGATCACTACATTATATCTTCCCCTGCTTGTAAGACTACATGTTTAGTCTCATATAGTGAACCAGACCGTATGACAATATACCCTGAATAAAGCAAGCATTCTCTTAAAACAAGGCTACAGACAAAGACTATGCAGGCAAATGCTTGAGTCTTGTTCTGGGTGATCATCTTAATATTCCCAGAGGATCATTAAATAGCATAGGAATGATTTTAAGCAGAAAGGAATAGTAGCGATTTTGAAGGGGACTACATTGATTTACTAAGCATCACTTTTCAAGACAGGAGAGTGACAGTATCTGAACTTGGATTTGGAGTATGAAAGCCAAGAGTGTTATCTGAGTAAATATATCTTGCTAAGAGGAGTTCAGCCACATTGTATGAAAAATATAATTGGACTGATGATAAAAATAATTCTTATTGGAAACATCCCTCTGGAAAGAAATAGAAGTGAACAAAATAGAGGACATTTCAATTCAAGGTTTGGTTGGAGATAAAAGTTATCCCCACCTTATTGTATTTGTAAATGTACAGTTTCTACTTTCCATAGATCTGAGTCATTCTTTTTAATGTAAAATATAGGGTGACCCCCATGTCAGAAGAATTGGTTATTCCACAGTGGCAATACCTTACACTTTCTCAGAGACCAGAAAGAGCTACTCGTTTTGATAAGCAGAAAAGAGTTTTAAATAAGCACAACATCTCTGGGAGATTTCCAGATATAACTGAAATTACCATAGCAGTAAAAAGGAAATGCATTAGAAAATTTCAAAGAAAATGAAAGGAACTCGTCTTTGACATTTTAATTAACTTGTTGTTTTAATGACTCTATACCTACTTAGAAACAAATTTAATACAAGAATTAAAATAAGTCCTTCAAGTTGCTAAGACTGAAAATGCACTTTTGTTTTTCTTCTCTTGTTCCAAATTAACATTATTACATCTGATCTATGCTAAGATAACAATGCATAAATTGATAACAAGTTAAAATGAAAATCCATTTGGCTGATTTTTTTAGGGGGACTTTCAAAACTCTCTATAAAAGACCTGACAAATTTTGAATTTCTCTTGAATGAAGAGTGTTTTGTATGTATATACAAATAATACAATTCTCTTTTGGTGTAAGCAATATTATACAAAGAAAAGAAAAAGAGGAAGAAATTTTAAGCCATAAAAATTAAAGTCAAGAAATACAAAAGAAACATGGCTAAATCTACCTAATAACGAAGCATTCATAATGCCTCTTTGTATCTTTCTATACTCACAAACTATCTCTTTTTTTTAACCAAACACTTCACATATTATCTTTTGTTATTTAAACTTTCAGCTTTTTCTTTTTCTCATTTTAGGATATCTTCAACTCCATCCAACCATAATTTTCTCAGTATTTGTCTTTTGCTTGCTCTTTCCTTTTTAAGTTTTGTTGAGTTTTACAAAGATATTACAATTCATAGCATATAAGGATAAACCTAAGAAAACTAACTGAAAAAAGGAAAAAATAGAAAAATAAAGCAAACAATTAGAAAAGAAATTTTCAAATTTTTTTAGTAACAAACTGTCAATTTGGTCTTATTAAAGCCTTCAAAAATATGCCCAGTACTTCCAGAATTGCAGAGGTCAGTGGCAAATGATATCAATACTAATACAAATACCAATTTAACATTTAGTTATAACCTTTAATAATGGTTCAAATATTTTAAAGGTATCATTATTAAAACTTGACTGAGATTACTAGTCCTATTTTCTGTCCTCACAAGTTTTCCAACTTTTTAAAAATAGAGATTATTCCTTAGCATCAGTTGTTCATGTGTGTTAAATTCAAATATTAATTTTCCTTTTAATGGGCTTCAAAAATGTCTACTTGTGTTCAGTGCCAGAAAAATAAAAGTTGCTATTGTAAATTACAGCAGTAAATTCCTACTATATGTGGGACAAGAAACTTGCCAGCACTTTAAGGATACTAAGTAATAACTCTTCATCTGAGCTCGCAATGGTAAATTATGTCTTTTTCATTTTAATACATTACTGAAATTAACACATATGATACTCTTTACAATCAGGAAAATTAAACCTAACTTTGTCTTTTGAAAGCCACAGGCTTGAAAGAGAAATCAGAAGTGTTATTTCCATAAAAAGTGACAGCTTATGTATTTTAAAAAATTAAAGGGCAACATCATTAGCATTGTATTAATTTTGATGCAATATTCATTTACATCACAAACTGTTTATTTTTCATCACAAACTTAGGGCTATTTTCCTCCATCTCTTAATGTTCCTTTAATTTTGGTTAATACAGCTTAATGAGCAGGATGTTTTCTAGGAATTATAATCATCATGTATTTTGGACACT